ACAGCACACAACACACAACTCATAACACAAAACACATAACACACAGGCCACAACTCACAACACACAACTCATAACACAACACACAACACATAACACACAACACAACACATAACGCACAACACATAACACACAATACAACACATAACACATAACACACAACACATAATTCCAGGCTCCCCTTATTTTTGCAGCAAGTCTTGTTTGCTAGTCAGAGGATTAGAAAGGATTCGTGTCAGTCGCTTGTACTCTTGGCTCTGAGCTCACAGTCCAGGCTGACGTTTCAGTGCAGTGCCGTTGGAGAAATGCTTCATTGTCGGAGGTGCCATCCTTTAGATGAGATGTTAAACCGAGCTCCCATTTGTACCCTGTGCAGGTATATGTTAAAAATCCTCTGGCACTATTGGAATAAAGAAGGGAGTTTCTGTCTACTGGTGTCCTGGCCGACAATTCCCCCAGATAAAATTGGTCACTCACTTCACTGTTTCTGGGACTTTGTTGTGTCCAAATTGGCTGCTTCGCTTCAATAAAATACATTACACATTCATTACACATGATAGCAATTCCCTGTGAAGCACTTTGGGATGTTTTAACATCAGACATCAATAATGAACATTATTATATTGCGCTATATCAATTGCAAGGATTATTGGAACAGAAGATCGGTTAGAAGCAATAAGAGCTAATAATAATAATGATAATAATCCCTATTTTTAAATATATGGTCTTTCACATCGGGAGGATGTTTCGAAGTGCTTCACTGACATAGTAGTTTGTGTGTGCATATGTGTATACTATCACTAACACACACACACACTTACTAACACACAGTGTCACAAACAGTCACTGACACACACTGTCACGAACACACACACATTATCACTAATACACACACTGTCATTAACACTGTGACTAACATGCACACAAACTGTCACCAACACACACATGTCACAAACACACACACATACATGCACACAGTAACTACAGTGTACTCACCAGAGGTTTGAAAACACCAATAAATCTGTAACTGACAGCAGACCTTGTTGTGCTCACGATTTACTGAACTGAAGACAGAATGACTGATGTGTCACAGTTTACTTATTTAATGTTTTATTTAAGGAATAAACTGATCACATCAAACTACAAGCGGGAAAAGAAAATGATTAATAATATATCACGGTCTTTTTGACACAATGAAAAAATCCTGCTTATCAAACAGGAATAACATAAGGAAACTAACGACTGTTGGTGATGAATAAATAATTCATTAAAATAACCACCATTTTCTAAAAAAAACGATTATCTTTTTAAATATGGAAAATAATAGTTTGTTTGTGGAACATTGCTATGTGCAGATTGGCTGCTGCGTTCGCCCACAAATATACAGTCAATTCACTTTACAGTGTGTTCTGTGAAGCGCTTTGGGACGTCCTCCCGACGTGAAAAGTGCTATATCAAATGCAAGGATTATTATTATTATTATTATTATTATTATTATCCTGTGAAGCACTTTGAGATGTCTTGATAATGTGATAAGGTGTTATATGAAATGCAAGGCTTACTTGGGCCATCCATGCACACAGAGCTGCGAGATGCTATTGCCTGTGAAGTGTGCTGTATAAACGTGTGTTGTTGTTGAAGGGTTGATGTGTACAATCATAGGTTTCAGGCCCAGTGAAGGGCTGAATGAAGGGGACAGTTCTGGATCCTGTGATGCAATGGGGCCGCTCAGGCCCCATAAGGGAGAGCAACTAGGCTGATCTTCAGTGTTACAGATATGAGTGTGAGTCACAAAGAGATGAACTGATAAGATAAACATAGTGGCCGAGAGGACCTTCCAGAGGATTAATATGCACTTAATATGCATGAAACTAAAGAAAGTGGGAATCAGTGGAAGTATCTTACAATGGATATGTAATTGACTGACCGATAGAACCCAGAGAGTGGTGGTACAGGGAATGTCGCCGGGCTGGGAGAATGTTACCAGTGGAGATCCACAGGGGTCTCTCTTTTATTTAACATCTTCATAAATGATCTGGAGCTAGGAATCACAAGCACAGTGGCTAAACTTGCAGATGACCCAAAGCTAATGAAGGTGGTGGATGGCAAAGATGAACAGGATTGGCTACAGGAGGACTTGAACATTCTTGGGAATTGGGCAGATCAATGGCAGATGAAATTCAATAATAATAATAATAATTGCATTTAATATAGCATTTTTCATGTCTTCCAGACGTCTCAAAGCACTTTGTAAAGTGAATTGACTGTATATTTGTGGGTGAAGCGCGGCAGCCAATTGCGCACAGCAGTGTCCCATGAACAGTCGTGGATTGAAATGACCAATTTATTTATTTTTTCTTGAGGGATTATTATCAGGCATGTGGAGTAAGGAAATTTTCCCAAGGTTTCACCCTATTGGAAATCGAACCCAGGTCTCTCGCTTGTGAGGCAGAGCGCTCTAACCACTGAGCTACAGGACTCATGAGAGAAATGTAGAGAAATGCAAAGTGCTTCACATGGGGAGAAAAAAATCCAGGAAGGGAATATTATTCAAATGGTAAGAAAATAATCTGAATGGAAAATGAAAAGGACTGAGGGTCCTGATTGGCAATAAATTGAAGCTATCATAACTGTGCTCAGTAACAGTGAGTAAGGTAAACCAGATGCTGAATTGTGTTAAAAGGGCAATATTGAGCCGAAATAGTGGGGTATAAAAGACTGGTGAGACTGCACTTGGAATACTGTGTGCAGTTCTGGTCACCGCAATATAATAAGGATATTGCAGCGAATAAAAGGATACAGAGGAGGCCAACCAAAACGATTGATGGAGGGACTGGACTACGAGGAGTGATTAGTAATCTGGGCATGTTCACACTGGAGAAGAGAAGATTGAGGGGCGATTTGATTACGGTCTTTAAGATTCTGAAGGGAATAGATAATATAGACCATGATGCGCTATTTTATCTTGTACTGAACAGTAGAATCAGAGGACATGACCTTGATTTATGGAGCGTAAATTCAGAACAAATCTGTTTCAATGAATGAGTAATAATATATAATAATCCTTGCATTTGATATAGCGCTTTTCACATCTTCTGGACGTCTCAAAGCGCTTCACAGAATAGACTGTAAAGTGAATTGACTGTATATTTGTGGTTGAAACGCGGCAGTCAATTGCGCACAACAGCGTCCCACAAACAGTCGTGGATTGAAAATGACCAATTTTTTTTTTTTTTTTGGAGGCATTTTTATCAGGCGTGTGGAGTAAAGAAACTTGCCCAAGGTTTTGCCCTGCCTGGAACCCAGGTGTCTCACTTGCAAGGCGAGTGACTTAACCACTGAGCTACAGGATTCCACAGTAGTAAACTTATGGAACAGGCTTCCAAGGGATACGGTGGAAGCAAAAAGTGTTGTTTGTTTCAAGAACAAATTAGATAGATTTCTGCTAGAAAATAATATGTTGGGGTATTGTGTTTAAGGTTAGGGTTAAAGTGAACTAGATGGACCTTGGTCTTCTTTCGCCAGCAAATTCTTGTGTTCTTGTGTTATAAGGTGCCTCACTGGCTGGTTTACTGCTCCCAGAGGTGAAGAAAGCTTCTGGGTACGTGGGCATTCACATTCTCACACTCTCGATCCACCATCCCCAACCCCTCTCTCTCCTATACATATCCCTCTCTGGTATCCCATTCCTCTCTCACTCCTCCATCCACCATTCCCCTAACTCTCTCCTGTGCCCATCCCTCTCTCTCTCTCTCTCTACTGTGCCCATCCCTCTCTCTCTCTCTCCTGTGCCCATCCCTCTCTCTCTCTCTCCTGTGCCCATCCCTCTCTCTCTCTCCTGTGCCCATCCCTCTCTCTCTCTCTCCTGTTCCCAGTCCTCTCTCTCTCTCTCTCTCCCCCAGTTCCCAGCCCCCTTCTCTCTCCCTCCCAGTCTCTCTCTCACCCCCAATCTCTCTCCCTCCCAGTCCCCCCCCCCCCCCCCCCCCCCCCCCAGTGCCCCTCTGTCCTGAGCAATTCTTTATCTCAGGGGAAGATTGAATTTCAGGAGAAAAGCCCCGCCCCCACCACCGGCAGAGCCCCGCCCTGCTGCCGAGGCCTTGTGCTGATTGGTGGCCTCCCCGCTCACAGCACCAATCACAAGCTGTTGCGGTATAATCCCATCGATGATTGGCCGATAGTCTGTCAGTCAAAATAGGAGGCGCGGCCCGAGAGCAGCTGCGCTCATTGTGTCAGAGAAGCGGAGCAAAGGCGCAGCTCAGACTCCAGCTCACACCAGAGAGGCTCACACCAGACAGGCTCACACCAGACAGGCTCACACCCAGAGCTCACACCAAACAGGCTCACACCCAGAGCTCACACCAGACAGGCTCACACCCAGAGCTCACACCAGACAGGCTCACACCAGAGAGGCTCACACCCAGAGCTCACACCCAGAGCTCACACCAGACAGGGTCACACCCAGAGCTCACACCAGAGAGGCTCACACCCAGAGCTCACACCCAGAGCTCACACCAGAGAGGCTCACACCCAGAGCTCACACCAGACAGGCTCACACCAGACAGGCTCACACCAGACAGGCTCACACCAGACAGGCTCACACCCAGAGCTCACACCAGACAGGCTCACACCCAGAGCTCACACCAGACAGGCTCACACCCAGAGCTCACACCAGACAGGCTCACACCCAGAGCTCACACCAGACAGGCTCACACCCAGAGCTCACACCCAGAGCTCACACCAGACAGGGTCACACCCAGAGCTCACACCCAGAGCTCACACCAGACAGGCTCACACCAGACAGGCTCACACCAGACAGGCTCACACCCAGAGCTCACACCAGAGAGGCTCACACCCAGAGCTCACACCAGAGAGGCTCACATCCAGAGTTCACACCAGACAGGCTCACACCCAGAGCTCACACCAGACAGGCTCACACCCAGAGCTCACACCAGACAGGCTCACACCCAGAGCTCACACCAGAGACAGGCTCACACTCAGAACTCACACCAGACACCAGCTCACACCCAGAGCTCACACCCAGAGCTCACACCAGAGACAGGCTCACACTCAGAACTCACACCAGACACCAGCTCACACCAGCTACCACAATAATCAGAGGATCTCAGATCACAATCAGTGCTGACACCCAGAGACCAGACAACACGACCAGAGACCCAGAGCTCACGGACACCCAGAGGATCTCAGCTCACAATCTGGAGGACCTGAGCTCACAGCAGCCCAGAGAGACTCTCACTCTCTCTTATTGCAAAATGTGCTAAATGTTGAGCCTGGAAGCAGCCGCCTTTCCTCCCCCCAATGGTACAGACCAACATGGCCAGGACTCTCTCAGGCTCCCAGGAGATCCAGATGGATGTGTTTGATAGCTCAAACCTACAGGTAGGCGCTGCTCTGCACTTCACTGTGAGGGTTCGGTTACCGAGACTCTCGCCTCTGGCTCTATCTGTGTGTCTGCGTCTCTCTTTGTTTCTGTGTCTCTCTGTTTATATGTGTCTCTGTCTGTCCGTGTCTCTGTGTGTGTGTGTCTGACAGCCCCTGGAGCTGAGCTGGCTGCTATGTATAGACCTGTTGGACCTCAAACCCTCGCCCCAGACCAGCGGCAGATGGGCTGCTCTGTTTAAAGTGATTTGTACCATTGCCTGTGTATACCCAGCCCAATGCATTGCAAACATAGTTATTCCCTTTGAACATGCTTTAAAAATCCACCTCTTACAGTGCCTTCAGGCATCTCCTCCTTCCCAAACCCACCCTGTGAAGCGCTTTGAGACCTTTCAATCGTTGCATTTGATATAATGCCTTATCACCTTAATAATAACAATAATAATAATCCTTGCATTTGATATAACGCCTTGTCATCTTTTCGAGATGTCACAAAGCGCTTCCTAGGTCAGACTGTAGTTTTGACTGTTGTTTTGTGGGCGAAACGAGGCAGCCAGTTTTGCACATAGCAATGTCCCCACAAACAGCGGGAAGTAAATGACCAATTTGGATGAAAGGCGCTGTGTGAGGCAACACACTTTATAATCAGGTACAAGTTCCAAAATCGATAGTCACTCTTGATAAATAATAATCCTTTGCAGTTGCTAAACGCCTTGTGTCATTGAAATGTGTTAAAGTGCTTCACAGGATTTACTGTAAAGTCAAGTCAGTGACTGTGTTTTGTGGGCGAGTGCAGGAGGCAATTTGCACACCGTGACATCTCGCAAACAGCGATGAAGCGAGTCATTAATTTTATCTGGGGGATTGTCGGCCAGAACACTGGGAGAGAGGAACTCCCTGCTCCTCTCAATGAGCGCCGCGGTGTATTTAGCATCCACCCGAACAGGCACAGACGAGGCCTTGGTTTAAAAATTCACCTGAAGGACGACGTCTCCAACAATGCAGAGCTCCCCCAGCACTGGAGCGTCTGCTTAGTATGTGAGCTCAAAGTTGGGCTTGAACCCCAAATCTTCTGATAGAGGCAAGAGCGCTGCTGACCTAGCCAGGCTGATTTCATACGTGCAGGTTTTTATAATATTCTCGTCCCTGTCTCGGTTCTCTGTGTTAATCTGCTCGCACGCCTTTCCCCAGTTTAAACACTAATTTATTTTGTACTTTTTTGCTGGTCGGCATTTGATTAAGTTGCCAATTTGCACTCGTTGCTCAACGCGCAAACACAGACCTGATCCCGTGCCCTGTGGATGGTGAATTGTAAACACAGCTTCAACGTGTAATTCTCTCTTGTCCGGCTACTCCAGTGTATCTGAATTGGTGAATGAAATCTCATGTGGGACTGAAAGGGTTAAATCACGCAGTGTGGTGACTCGTTAGCCCTGCCAAGCCTCTGCTGAGTTCTGGGATGTCAGTAAAGGCAGGTGTCAGTCAGCCTGTGGCTCAGGCAGTGACACTCTTACCTTGGAGTCCCACAATACCTCCATCGCCTCCTCCAAGGCACATCACAAGACCTTCCTCTTCGACCGTGCCCTTGACTGTCCAACGACTTGGGACGTCCTTCCAATGTGAAAGGTGCGAAACACACTTAATTTATTGTTGAGTCAAAACTTTGTGGGTTCGAGCTCCACGTCGGGGACTTTGAGCTCAGAGTCTAGGCTGAAGCCCCAGCAGAGTGCTGGGGGGAGCGAGGCATTGCCAGAGACACTGTTTTGACAGAACAGTTTGTTTATAATGCTTGTCATCTTCTAACTTGATTTGTTTATGATTAAATAGAGATTCCCTTAATGTGTGTTTAGTTTTTAATAAGAATAAATGGTACTTTAATATGCACCGTTATGTCAACAGAGCTGGATGAAACATTGAATCGAGCTCTCTGTCTGTGCCCTATTCAGATGGATATTAAAGATCCCACACATGACTCTGTTTGAAAAGAGAAGGGAGTTTCTCTCCTTCTGGGGTCCTGGCCAACAATCCCCCCGGATACAACCACCAGATAAACTTGCTTGTTCCTTTCTTGGCTGTTTGTGGGATGTCACCGGTTGCAAATTGACTCGAAATTGGCCAGTGTGCTCGCCTACAAAAACACTGTCACTACACTATACAACAAAATCTTGTGAAGCACTTTGAGACATCTCCTTGATGTGAAAGACAATGTATCAAATATGAGGGTTATTAATAATATTATTAATATTATTCCTTATAATATCTCCTACATCAAGGTCTGCATCATAAATGAATACAGAAGCCACGTTTGTTATCTTCTAACTCGATCAGTTTATCACTAATTAGAGAATCCCTTAACATGTGTTTAGTTTTTAATATAAATAAGTAGCACTTTAATGTGTAATATTACGTCAACAGAGCTGATTCCTGTCTCTCAGAGGGCGAGTGACTGACTTGTTAGTATGGTATGTGTGTGTGTAGTGTAGTGTGTGTGTGTACGTCCGTGTGCAAGTGAGTTAAGTCCTACATTTTTAGCGGTTTACTTCCCTCTCTCAGAATTCACCCATTTCATCAGTCAGTCCTGGAGCTGTGCTGAATCACAGTATTAACCGTAGTTTAATAATAATTAATAATAATAATTCTTGCATTTGGCACAGTGCAGCTAACATCAAAAAGTCCCAAAGCCCTTCACAGGATTCACTATAAAGTGTGCTTTGTAGACAATTGCAGCACATCGACATCCCAGGAGAGAGAAACTCCCTTCTCTTTGCGAACTGCACTGCAGGATCTTTAATGTCGAACAACTGACAGGAGCTCGGTTTGTTGTCCTACTTGAATGAGTGTAACACTGCCCCCACCCTCCCGCACCACGTCAGCCTGAACCACAGGCTCAAGGTTTCCCCCCCACACCCCAGCCCCCCCATGATAACAAGACGGTTGATGCCTGCTGCTGGAGGGAGATGCATTTTTCACCCAAAATGTTTTCAAACATTGATGCAGCCCCGGAGGTTAACAGAGACTTGCCGTGTGTCCATCATGGTGACAATTCGCTGGTGGAGTTTAACCCTTTACATTCTGTGCTGCTGTCAGAAGCTTAGACACTTGTGCTCGTTAGCGGACAGTCTGACCAGCAGGAGGCAGCGCTGCTCCCCTACAGCTTCACAGTCGCTGTGGGACCTGTCACAGCCCCAGGCCGGACCCTCATTGTGAGCATTTGTTATCATAGAATCACAGAATTTTACAGCACAGAAAAAGGCCGTTCGGTCCATCACGTCTGTGCTGCTCTTTGAAAAGAGCGTCCATATCAACCCCAATTCCCCCGCTCTCTCCCCTGATCAACCCCACTCCCCCGCTCTCTCCCCATAGCCCTGATCAACCCCACTCCCCCGCTCTCTCCCCATAGCCCTGATCAACCCCACTCCCCCGCTCTCTCCCCATAGCCCTGATCAACCCCACTCCCCCGCTCTCTCCCCATAGCCCTGATCAACCCCACTCCCCGCTCTCTCCCCATAGCCCTGATCAACCCCACTCCCCCCTGCTCTCCTCATAGCCCTGCAAACTTGTCCCCAAATAATTATTTGTTAAAACAGCAAGTTCTGCAGCTCCGAGAGCGCTATAATAATGGCTGCTGTTGTTGTTGCTGAATCCTCAAGTGCTTTCAGTGCTGTCAGCCAAAGAGAGCCATAAGACCACTCCTCACACCCCCCCAGCCCCTGTGGCAGAGGTCACTGTGTGTAACTCTGTGTTCACAGCTGTAAGTCATCGCTCACGCTGACAGTAAGCAGGTGGCTGTTAATTGTCAGGATCTACCCTTTATAATAATAGTAATAATAACAGTAATAATACTTGCATTTGATATAGCGCCTGATCACATCTTCAGGATGTCTCAAAGCACTTCACAGAATATGCTGTAAAGTGAGATGACTGTATATTGTGTGGGTGAAACACGGCAGCCAATTGCACACAGCAGCATCCCAAAACAGTCGGTTGACTGGGCGGTTGAAGCTACTGTGTGCTTTCGGTCATCTTTCCTCTCCCAATTTGGGTGCCAAGACACTATTAAGCGCTTTGGGATGCCCTCCTGGTGTGTACATTTATTGTTGTTGATTTTGCCTTGATCCATTCCTGAATCAGCTGGTCTCACCCTGGGGAAGGCAGTAATTACTCTGAGGGGAGAGAGAGAGCAGGTGGGTTTCCATTATTGATCACCATCCAGCGCTCCCTGCTGGATGATGTGTGGATATCGGTGACACTAAGATGGATCCCTGCTGCTCGCCTACATTGTTTGGGTCACACGCTGTGTCAGCCTGTCTCAGTCACTCGCGCTCTGGCCTCTTAGTCAGAAGGTTGTTTCAAGTTCAAGCCACATGTCAAGGACACTAAGTTCACAGTCAAGGCTGAGGCTCCAGCACAGTGCTGGGGGAGAGCACTGCATTGCCAGAGGCGCTGTCCTGTGGATGAGACATTAAAGCGAGGTCCTGTCTGTGTCCTGTTCCGGTGAATGTTTGGTGACGTGTTTGGAAATAACATTTGCTTCATGACTGTTTGCAGGACGTTGTATGAACAAATTGCTGGCCAAGTTTTCCTACAAAACCCACAGTCACTTTACAGTGAAATCCTATGAAGCATTTGAGATGATCTCCTGACATGAAAGGCGCGAGGACTGTTATTACAGGAGAACTCCTGATAACTCAACCCTGACTTAACTTGTCACTACCAATTAAGTCAACATGCTGTCAATATCCTGATCACATTTATTAATGTATTTATACATTTCAGCAGGGCAAAACATTGGGCAAGTAGGAACCCGGTTGTTAGTCGAATCATGGATCACTTTTCTGGGGGTACTAATTTCTTCAAATAAAATAATAGATTGGTCACTTCAATCCATGACTGTTTTGGGACGTTGCTGTGCGCAATTGGCTGCCGTGTTTCACTTCAAAATTTACAGTAAATTCACTTTACAGTATATTCTGTGAAGCGCTTTGAGACGTCTCAAAGGTGTGATAAAGCGCTATATCAAATATAAGGATTACATCAACAACAACAACTTGGATTTATATAGCGCCCTCCACGCCAGACAGTGTCTCAGAGCGCTTCACAGTAACGGATCCCGGGGCCGAGCCAGAGGGAGGGGGAGGAACTTGACCGAAGGCTTATTATTATATAGTATATATTATATCGAGTCATTATTATTATACATGTGCCTAACTCATGACTACAGATAACTCGTCTCCGAGCCCTTTCCCCTTGGACTGATGATCAGTTATCAGGAGTGTAGTGTATTATGGTGAAAGCTGTTGGTCTGTTGTTGGAGATCATTGTTCCTGTGGGGCTGGAGATGGTGTTTGGAGGAGCACTTGCTGGGCAAGCACTGAGTTGTCGCTTCCCTCCATACTCTACTGGTTTTAGGTAATTAAAGGTGAAAGCCAAGAGCAAACAGATAAATGAATTACAGTTGTAAACCAATGGAACAGTTAGACACAACTGCGATGGGCTGGCAGTCTCCAGGCACATCACTCAACTGAATTCCATCCCAGGCGTATTGAAAGCCCCAAGTCAGGATTCTGAGCTCACAGTCCAGGCTGTCGCTCCAGCACATGTGGAAGTGTCACGTGGTTGGAAACACCGCCCTTTTCTTAGACGTTAACCCTCACTCCCTGTCTGTGCCTGTTCAGGTGGACGTTAAGGATCCCGTGGCGCGATTGGAAAAGAGAAGGGAGTTTCTCTCTCCTGGTGTCCTGGCTGACAATCCCCCCAGATAAAATTGCTCGCTCACTTCATGGCTGTTTGCAGGGAACTTGCTGTGTGCAAGTTGGCTGCCACCTACAAAATACACAGTCACTACACTTTACAGTAAATCCTGCAAAGCGCTTTGAGATGCCCTCCTGACATGACAGGCTCAGGGTTAAATGCAAAGATTATTATTGTTAAAAACATTTCTTTCTCACTCTCTTTCTCATTCTCTCATTCCCTCTCTCTCCCTCTCTCTCTCCATCAATGTCATTCACTCTCGCTCACTGTCTCTCTGTCTCTTTCTCACTCTCTCTCCCTCTCTCTGTCACTCTCTATCGCAGTCACTCTCTTTTTCTCTCTCTCTCTTTCTCAATGTCACTCTCTCTCTCTGTTTAGGGAAAATACGCTAAAAGGAAGAGTCGTTTCAAACGCTCTGATGGGAGCACGTCCTCAGACACCACCTCCAACAGCTTCGTCAGGCAGGTAAGCCGGGGTGGGGGGGGAGTGGACAGGGACGGGCTCGTGCTGTGCCTCTCAGTGATGTCACCTCAATGTGGGACAGCGACTACCTGTGGGCGAAGCTTGGTCAGGTTACACAGGCCCCTGTCATTTAGGTACTAACCAGCAAAGGAAAGGATCACGTGTGTCTAATAGCACAGAAAATATGTCACCCCCACCCACTACCCTTGCTTCCCCTCCCCCATCGTGATACCATGAGAAATTTGTCCAAATGAAGACAGCACCAAACTCAACACATTCACTCAATTGCACCAAAGATCAACTTATCTGGATTGTGAACTGAGGAATGAATTTACACTAACGCTAACTGCAGCAATCACAGCATTACGTCTGGCGGGAAATACCGAGTGGGGGGGCGGGAGGAGTCGGGGGGGGTGGCGGGAGGAGTGGGGTGGAAGCGCGGGAGGAGGAGTGGCAGGGAGGAGGGGGGGCATTCGGGGGAAGAAACTGCTCTCAATAATCTTGTGGGTCAAGGCCGATAAACAACCTTGCTGAATTCTGATCTCACTCAGTATCAGTGTCTCCCCCCTCCTGATCAGTATCTGGAGAATGTTTTTGTAGTGTGTGTGTGCACGTGCGTGCTCGTGTGAGTGTGTTTGCGTGCTCGTGTGTGCGCGTATATGTATGTATGTGTGCGTGCGTGCGTGTTTATGTGATGGGATCTGGCTGCATTGAACAGAACACCCACCTGACCACTCCCATCACAGCATCAAGCTGTTTCTTAAATGAGGCCCAATGTCCTGGCCTCAACCATCCTTCCTGGTGTCCTTGTTTCAGTCAATAATTACCCTCTGGGTAAAGAAAAACTTACTAGTTTTTCCCTCTCTCTTTCTCACTCTCTCAAATTGCCCCTTTACAACTCTAAACCCGTGTCCTGCAGTGTATAGTTTAGGCATTACTTTCTCAACCCCATTACAGCACTTCCAATAAACTTCCCCATGCAACTGAAGAGCTTGAACTTGTCTAATTGTCGCTCGTTCCTCTAACTCCGGGGATCGGCTTTGCTGCTCTCCTCTACGCTGCTCCTGGGGCCCCCTCACGCCTCGGTGCCCTGAGCTGTCCCCAGGGCTCCCCACACATCTCAAAGCCCGTGCATCTAATTGAATGTCCACCCAGTTGCAGTGAGGAAGAGTAAAAGGATAGAGCAATTAAAGGCAATAAAACAAATGTTTCAAATATTTGTCGAAGCCGCAGTGTGTCAGTGTTTCTCAGTCCATTTCTTTGGCTGTTTGCTGATGGCAAACTGGGCTGAAGGTCGTTGTTCTGTTGCTAAGGCGTGGTTGGAAGAAGACTAGCGTCTAGCTGTCGGGGGTGAATTGCGGCTTTCTTTATAATTCTTCCTTTTGTTTATAATTTTTTAATATATTTACGCACAGGAGACAAACCGATGTAGAGTGTGATTCATATGTGGGAGTGCGAGCAGGGGTTTGGTGGGGAGCGTGGTGGTGGGGAAAACAACACACAGGAAGTGATGTCAGTGGCTGAGCGATAGACATTTTTTAGCACTGTTTATTATAATGTGGGGTTTGGGTTTATGGACCCAGATGTTATGACAGGATGGGCTGCATATCTCCCCGTCTCTGGAATCATTCCAGTAAACCTATACTCTTCCCTGTCAGTCCCTCTGTGATTTTTCACAATTCCGCGCCAGCTTAGCTGAGAGGCAGAATGTTCTGACAGAGGCTGAGACTGGGTGGAATTCCAGCCATCAGATATTGAAATGGACCAAAATCTTTACATTGTTGGTTAGACTCATGCAGTATATCTTAACACGCACACTGGGGTCCCCCAGCCTTGGCTCTTACCATCCTATGCCTAATACTTTCTGAAATTAGATAAGCCGGATGCATCCCTCCAGGGAGAGAGCACATTCCATTCCAACAGTCTATCTGGGATTTCCATGTGTAGGTGGGAGGCATGAAATTCTCAGCCTGGTTTGGAGACTCTTAAGCACAGTGATGGGTTTCCGCATTTGTCGGTCTGGCTGACAAAAATGTACATTGCTTTAATTCACTGACGTAATTAATATTGGATATTCTACAACAGATAGTTTTGTGAACTTGACTGAAGTTTCTTTACCACCTCATGTGAGTCCAGGCTAATGCTCCAGCTCAGTGCTGGGGGAGCATTGACGTGCCAGAGACACCGTCCTTCATATGAGACATTAAACCCGAGTTCCCCGACTGTACCCTGTTCAGGTGGACGTTAAAGACTGCGACATTATTTGAAAAGAGAAGGGAGTTTTTCCCTCTCTCCCGGTGTCCTGGCCGACAATCCCCCCCGAATAATATCACCATTCACTTCATGGCTGTGCGTGGGAAGTTGCTGTGCAGAAATTGGCTGTCGAGTTCGCCAATTAAACACACACTTAGAATCGCTTAGAGACATTTTGACCTTCTAGGCACTGTATTAGATCGGGGGACAGTTATAATGAGGTACTACTGTTTGGTGGCCACACAGTGATCAGTGTGCAGTGCAGATATCCTTTCAAACCACATAAACAGGGCTTGTGTTCAAGTAAAGGCTGAATTAGTTTGTGTTTCTCAGCGCCCAGCTCCTGGCACCAAGCAGGCAGTGCCGAACACAGGTTTAATTACCCGAGATGGAACAGGCTGAGATGAAAGGGGTCATGTGCCGAGCAATGGGAAGATGTGCAGCTCCAGGGAACCATTAATTAAAGATCTCACCGTGGGGATTTGGTTCTGAGAGTTGGCTTTCTTGGAATATAAATTCTGCTTCACTCTCTCTTCTTTCTCTCGCTCACATATATCATGCAAATGAGAGGACCCGGTTTCGATTCCTAGGCAGTGTGAAACCTTAGGCAAGTTTCCTTATTCCACACGCCTTTGTAAGTAGGAAGCTAATTGGCGGATCGCTTTCCGGGGGTTATAATCCCTCAAAAAAATGTGCCTACTCAATCACTCACCCAAACTCTCACCCCAAATCACTGAAACCCCATTTAAAATTGACCACACAACCATACACACTCACAGACTAGGTCTGTTTCTCTGTAAAGAAATCAGGCAAAATCTCTTCCAAACCTTACCCCCCGTGTCATTGATTGGATATTTTCCTCTGTACAATGTGTCAGTATTCCTGTCAGCATTGGCCCATCATTGAATCATCCTGATCACTCAAATTAAGATTATTTAAGATTGTGCATCAATCTGGCTCAGTCCATAGCGCTCTCAACTCTGAGTCAGAATGTTGTGGGTTCAAACCCCACGGGATGTGGAATCACATTGCATAAGATGACACTCCAAGGCAGTGCTGGGGGTGTGTGCTGTATTGTCTGAGGTGCCATCCTTCAGATGAGACATTAAACCAAGGTCTCCCCGTTCAGGTGGACATTAAAGATCTCAGGGTGCTACTTGAAAAGAGAAGAGAGTTTCTCTCTCCCGCTGTCCTGCCAACCAACCCCCAAATAAAATTGGTCACTTGCTTCATGGCTATTTGTAGGCCAAACTGGCTGTCCACAGAAACGCAGATCCACCCCCCCACTTTACAATATATCCTGTGAAGCGCTGTGAGGTTTCCTCATGATGGGAAAGGCGCTGTATCAAATGTAAGGATTATTATTAGTTCCAGTAACTGGAAACTGGCTGTGTTTACAGTCATGGAAGCACAAGTTGTTATACTTTCACACGTTTATGGGAGAGAAATCTTCTAGGTCTAGATTTCCTCTGATTTCTCAGCATTTCAAAACAACCAGAATTTGATAAATTCTTAAACTCAACCTGAATTTTGATGGAACCACAAACGTTTAGCAATTTGTAGGACACTGCTGTGCGCAATTGGCTGCCGCGTTTCGCCTACAAAATACACAGTCATTACACTTTATAGTGTATCCTGTGAAGCACTTTGAGACATCTCAACAATGTGATAAGCTGTTATATCAAATGCCAGAAGAGAAACTCGCTTTTCTTTTCAAATAGTGCCGCGGGTTCTTTAACATCCACCTGAACAGGCAGACGGGATCTTGGTTTAACATTTAATCCGAAGGACGTTTTACGTTTGTGCGTGAATCAGGCAGCCAATATACACACATAGCAACATCCCACAAACAGCCCTCCACCTCCCCTCCTCTCAGCCAGCACATTCCGAACCTTTAAAAATGCATGTGAAATAGAGGAGCGGAGCAGGAGAGATGTGTGAGCCATGGAGAGTGGGAGCTGATATACTGTACAGTGTGATATACTGCGTTTCAAAACTCACGGCTTCAGCACTGTAATCAACATGGGAATTAATAAAAATTGTTTTTAGACGAGACTGACATTGCCAGTTACAATCCCATCTCCTCTCCCCTCTGTCTCTCTCTCTCCCCTTTCTGTCCCTTTTGTCTCTCCCTCCCTCTCTGTCTTCTCTCTCTGTCTTCTCTCTCAGTCTCTTGCACATATTTCATCCATTCAATTATTTATGTTGTGAACAGCGATGTTGCTATGGAAACCGCTAACCCTTTTAAGTGATGAAGAAATATTCTTGCTACGTGGTAATCTCAATTCACCCGCTCACTTCCCTTCCTTGCCTTTGAGATGTTAAATCAAGGTCCGGTCTGGCTGTTCAGGTTGACGTTAAAAGGACGTTTTGAGACGTCCTCCTGATGTGAAAGGCACTGTATCAATCACACCGGAATTATTTGATTGGAATCATTAATCGGGACTGAGTGACCTGAGCACATGGGGAATTGAGGTTTAATAAAGATGGTTACATTAATAATAATAATTCTTGCAGTTGATATAGCGCCTTATCGCATCATTGTGATGTCTCAAAGAGCTTCACAGCATATACTGTAAAGTGTAGAGAAACGCGGCAGCACAATTGTGCAATGACCAAATTTTATTTGAGGGATTGTTGGCCAGGACACCAGGAGAGAGAAACTCCCTTCTCTTTTTGAATAGCGCCGCGAGAACAGGGAGATGGGACCTCGGTTTAACGTCTCACCTGAAGGACGCTGAGGGACAGAT